GTTTGTCTTTTTGTCTATCTATTTATCTATCTATCTATCTGTCTGTCTGTCTACCTATCTACCTATCTGTCTGTCTATCTATCTGTCTGCCTGTCTGTCTATCTATTTACCTATCTGTCTGTCTGTCTGTCTACCTATCTACCTATCTGTCTGTCTATCTATCTGTCTGCCTGTCTGTCTATCTATTTACCTATCTGTCTGTCTGTCTGTCTACCTATCTACCTATCTGTCTGTCTATCTATCTGTCTGCCTGTCTGTCTATCTATTTACCTATCTGTCTGTCTGTCTGTCTACCTATCTACCTATCTGTCTGTCTATCTATCTGTCTGCCTGTCTGTCTATCTATTTACCTATCTGTCTGTCTGTCTGTCTACCTATCTACCTATCTGTCTGTCTGTCTGTCTATCTATCTATCTGTCTACCTGTCTATCTACCTGTCTGTCTGTCTGTCTATCTATCTGTCTGTCTGTCTATCTAGCTATGTCTGTCTGTCTGTCTGTCTGTCTGTCTGTCTATCTATCTCCCTGTCTGTCTGTCTATCTATGTCTGTCTATCTATCTATCTGTGTATCTATCTATCTGTCTGTCTATCTACCTGTCTGTCTATCTATCTATCTATGTCTGTCTATCTATCTGTGTATCTATCTATCTATCTATCTATCTGTCTGTCTGTCTCTGATGGTCAGGTGAGTTGGCTCACCTAGTCGAGTGGCTGGTGGTCTCCTGGTGTCTGGAGTGAGTCCCAGCTCGCTCTGCAGCTGCTGCTGTTGTATTCTGGCCTGCTGGAGGATCTTTCGGGACAGTTTCTCGTCCACATACTCCTGCTCCTCCTCGCTCCGGCTCCGGCTCCGGTTCTTCAGGCGGCCGCTGCTCCGGACCGCGTCTCCCTGCAGGATCTGATCTGCCAGAGACAGCGCGCCGCTGCTCTTCTTCACCTTCGGCATGATGATGAGGATTTATCTGATAAATTATAGTTATTATTAACTCGGGTTTGAACTCATGACATGCAGCTGCGCGCCGAACACACGTGTGTCTGAAGCAAATGGCGCAGTGTGTGTGTGTGTGTGTGTGTGTGTGTGTGTGTGGCTGATCTGAGGTCAGAGGAGCGAATCGAGCGCAGATCTCAGTCTTTATGCGGCGCTCATAACAGCTGATCTCAGAGCGGCGCTGCGTCACACTGTTTACTTCCGGTCAGCACTCGGTCCACATGAGACACACTGCTCTTAATCAGTGCTTCAGTGCGTCTGCGATCATTTACTTGAATTATATAGATAATCACAAATATTTCCGTATTGTCCAATTAAAGTTTTTTGCTTCATCTGATTTTGTGTTAATAACGATGATCCGGAAGTAAATACCGGTTCGCGGAAGTTTACGGCAAAGAAATGGGTGTAACGTGGTGAGAAAAACACTTTTGTTTTTAAATTATTGTGTAGTATAATTGGTTTTTATGGTTCTTTTGGGTGTTAGGGTGCTTATAAATCATTCCAGTAATTATAGTGTGTGTTGAATGCACTGAGAGGCTTTGGAAGGAAACAAAAAGCTGTCAAATTGTTTATCTGTAAAAACTATGTTTGATGTTGTAAATAAAACAAAGATTATTGAAGTGTGTTTTACAAGGAAATTTCAAAATTTCACGTTTAATGGAATGTGTTACTTGCCGTTTCTTTTATTGTTTGAAATTTGCTAGCAATTTCTGAGTGAAAATAGTAATTATATATATATATATATATATATATATATATATATATAATTAAAGCATTTTCTTTGGTTTGTTTTGTATGAAAAATAGCTTTCAGAGTAAACTTTTGTTATTAAAATTAATATTACACAAACAAAAATAAACAAGAAAAGCATATAAAATAGATATATTTTAATAGCACAATTTAATTTAATTATTTGGATCACTTTCACGGACTTTTACATTAACTGTTCCCTCGTGGTGGAATGACCTGCCATCTTTATTTGACCCTCTAACTCTAGCACACTCTATTCTAATTCTATTCTTAAAAACAAAAACTTGCCCCTTTTAGACTTGCACTCTATTCATTTACTAACTGCTTGTCTTCTTTTTAAAAAAAAAGGGCCTCTAACACTAGCTTGCTCTATTCTTTTTCTATTCTGTCGGTTTTCTTTTTTATTTATTATATAATAACGAAAACCTTGCTGCGTTAGTCTAACCGAGACTTGTCGCAGCACTTGCAGATCACTTCTCTTTTGTTGATTTTGATTGCTTGATTTGGATAAAACCCCATTAATACAAAAATACCATTATATTTGTTGTTCATATTTTGAATGAGATGTTATTTTCTTGAAAGATGTTGCCTTGGCAACTAGCTAAAATAAAATGAACACCACATTTGCATTTAACAGATGAAGGAGCGGATGACCAATTGATTTGAATATACAAGAGCAGAACACACTATGCAATCAGCCCTGTTACATATGATCTTAAATTGCCATTACCGAAATCACAACAATGCCCATTTCTATTCAAGCCACGAGACTTTAGTAATTCTGGTTCTACACGGCTCCACAACATGTGATACTACAGTAAAATGTAAATCTATGTTCAGCTATGAATTCCCCATAAACCCATTTTACTAGTCGCAAAGCATGCTGGGTAAGCATACTGTATGTAGGCTACTTCAGCATGCAAAGTCCATACTTAAACTTTTGTTTACGCTCATTTGCTTGTATCTTTTCCCACTAATGGGAACCTTATAATAAGTGTTAATTATTAATAAATTATTGTAATAAAATGTACTATAAATAAATAATCATGTTATGGACAAGGTTAATCTGTTCATCTGACCCCGGAGCTTTAAAGCCTGACAGACGCCTCCACAGCCGCTAAAGTTACCGATCGCCGTCTCGACCAATCAGAACACTGTCGTCATGCGATTGATCGCTCCTCGGCCAATCAGAGCGCAGTGACGCCGGCGCTGGGCGAGTTCGGTTGAGCCGAAAATGGTGACAGCTCTCGCGTGCGGATGATGGCGGTAAATAACAGCCCAAAGCGAGTGTAAAAAAAACCCCGCGCAAATATTAACCGTTATTTAACTCGCCAAACGCATTTCACCGGCTGCTTCGCGGAGGACTCGCGCCGATCGAGGGGCCGTTATTTGAGAGCCGATCGGTGGCTTTGCGGTGTGAGTTTATTCCGTGGCTGCGGCTCATAATGGGTTTTGTTCAGCGGGTTTAAAGTAACGGGTCTCTCGCGCCGGTATAAACACGCACACAAACACACCGAACGAGCGCCGGTACCGGAACATCCCGGATCCGCAGCTGCCGCGGATTCCGCGTGTCTCCCGGCGGAGCGTCTTTTGTTCTGAGTAGCGCTAGCGGGTTAGCACACACACACACACACACACACACAAACATTCAAACAGAGACACACACACACACTCATATAAGTGTACACACACTGCATTGCGAGACAAAAACTCAAACACTAATGAAAAATATACATTCACATTCAGTCATGCATTTAGAGAACTCTATATATCATATAAAGCACCACACTGTTTAAAATCAGAATGGAACCATTTAATTGTGTTCAAGTTTTGCAAATAACGCATTTTTTCGTCCACAGTTTTCATTCTGCATGATGAAGTCTTTTAAACTGTACAGCGACAGGACATGTCCGCTCTGATGCTGAAACTCGCCGTTTCTCAAAGTGAGTAATATTGCTTTAAAAAAAGTGTCGCGTTGCATTAGGCGCTTTCGCACCGCAGGAACCTTTAAATAGTTCCTAGAACTATTGGCGGACGTTCCCACTTTTTGGCGTGTTCGCGCCGCAGGAACTAGGAACGTATTTAGTTCTAGAAACTCCGTTTGGAGGAACTAAATTAGCTCCTACTTCAGAGTGGGGTCTAAAACAGTTCTATAGGAACTACCAGTGACGTAAGTGTAAGCCGATTGGCCAAACGCTTACGAAACACTGGTTACCCGGCATTTTTTTAAAAAGCCATGTAAAAATATTTGCTCCACGAACATGAAAAACAGCTGTAACGACATTTACATGTTGTCTGCAGTGTTGTGTTCTTTTCTCAGCCTCAATATGGCCTTTCGCACCGCACTAAAGTCACTGGGACGATTTTGCGTGAGCTATTTCCCAGTACCATTTAAAGGGTTGCATTCGCACCGACAGTGTGTACTAAGAAGTGACGTAAGCCGGTCGACAGCGACGTCATTTGTGCGCGGCGTTCAACAACAGAAACAAAGAAGAACAACATTAACAACAGGAGGATGGAGGACGCTGTGATCGGAGCTGTGTTTTTGTTGTGTCTCGCGGGTTTCACAATAATGGACATGGAAAGTCGACGTATACGTAAAGCGATTGAAAGAACGTAAAGGAGGACTAAGAATCTCCAACGACAACCGGCAGTGCTACATTTGCTACAAGTGCCTGCACTTCAGCGTCCGTCCATCTATCGCTGTTCTCCATACTTGCGAAATAAGTTGACACAATGTTTACAGTATGTTTACACTGCGTTTTAAATCATGGCGGGTGAGGTCGTTTTCGTACGCGTTTGGCCAATCAATGTCTACTTGCGTCACGATTAGTACCAGTTGTGCTGGTTAGACCCTGCTCCGGAGTAGGAGCTAATTTGGTTCTCGAAAAAGGCAGTCCGGTACTAAAATCGCTCCCAGTTCCGGCGGTGCGAAAACGCCAAAAAGTGGGTAGTTCCACAATTAGTCCTGGTACTATGAAAAGGTTCCCGCGGTGCGAAAGGCCCTAATGATATGTATCATTGCAAGTTAGTCAGATTTTCATACTCTTTCAATCGCGTAAATTGTGCGTTTGCATTCCATCTCCGTTATCACGAAACAAACAAAAAAAAACCGCTCCTTTCACGGCATTCTCCATTCACCGGTTGTTGATAGGGCTGGGATGATAAATCGATGCATCGCCATTTGTGGATCGATTCTGAGATTATTGGAATAGCGCGGGCACTGAACAACAAAACGCTTGTGCTTCAGCAGTGACTCATCTGAACGCCTCTGATTGGCTGCTGCATTCATAAACTCAATGGAATCGTGTGTAAATCGATGCATCGCGAATCGAGAAATTATTCTGCATCGATTCTGAGATTATTGGAATGCATCGCGATTCTCTCTCGAATCGATTCTGAGCTTAGTTTTTAACAGTAGATGGCGCTCTAGGCTAGTATTTAACCGCACACTCAAATGCTCACGAAGAAGAGCCCTTGTGAGTCATGTAAGTGGTTAAATCTACTTGGCTTTTATGACGTGAGATTAATGTAAACAGCCCACCTTGTAACTCCCTACAACCTTTTCAACCTGTGTGAATGATTATTTTATGTTCAAGTGGTGTGTGTGGCAGGAACTGGAAGCAGCAGAGTATAGCTGTTTCTTAAGCATGCAGCACCATCTGCTGTTAAAAACTAAGCTCAGAATCTATTCAAGAGAGAATCGCTTTGCATTCCGATAATCTCAGAATCAATGCAGAACAATTACTTGATTCGCGATGCATCGATTTATTGTCCCAGCCCTAGTTGTTGATGTTTGTAAACCCCGCGAATAAAGTAGTCGCTGTCGGCCGCTTCAGAGTTCCTGAATGCAACCAGGAAAATAACTAAGTTCCTAGAACTATGCGGTGCGAAAGCCGTCAGTCGTCTTTGTCAGCAGTAAAGCATTACGTACTTAAAATGGTAACTTACTAACATTGTTATCTTGTCCTTAGGATGAGTGCGGTCATGGCGTGTGGTTCCTGACTCGGAGTGCTCCTGCGTGTTGGGAGATATGGATCGCTGTAAGCATGTGGTACGGTTCCGTTTGGGCCAGGGCCACTCCATCCTCAACCCGCAGATGTGGCGTTGCGTTGATTGCGGCACCACAGAGTCCGTATGGGCTTGTCTGAAGTGCACTCACGTGGCGTGCGGCCGCTACATGGAAGAACACTCCCGGAGTCACTACCAGCAGACGCAGCACTCGCTAGCCATGGACGTACGCGAACTGGACGTCTTCTGTTTCGCGTGCGGCGATTACGTGTTGAACGATAATGTTGAGGGCGACTTGAAGCTCCTTCGTGGGGCGCTATCTACCGTCCGCAGCCCTGGTCAGCGCTCCCTGCGTTCGTCGGCGTCCGATGGCGGACTTCGAGTGTGCGAGGTTGCGCGTGACGGCGCTATGCAGACGGCGTTGTGGCACAGACGGAAAACTCTCCTCCAAGGTGCCTTGCGCCACTGGAGGAGCCGACAGCAGGAGCAACACCGGAAGCGCGAGGAGAAACAGGAGCAAGAGCGAGAGGAGAAGCGACGGCAACGCAGGGAAGTCAAGAAGCGGCTGATGGGCGAACTAGCCAATGTGCCACCGAGGAAAAGCGCGCGGCTTCTCACCCAGGCTCCTCGTCCGACACTCGCACTTATTCCTCGGAAGTTCCGTGATCCTCCGGAACGACTCCCTTTGGCTCCCAAACAGTCCCTGCTGTCGCTGTCCAACAAGCCCCTGTCGCGCAAACCACTTCGTAACGCGGGTCGGTTGCACCGATATCACGCCTCGCAGTCGTCGCGTCGCAGGAAGCCTGCGCCCGGAGTCACGGGATTGCGCAACCTCGGGAACACGTGTTACATGAACTCCATTCTCCAGGTGCTGAGTCACTTGCAGAAGTTCAGGGAGTGTTTCCTCACGCTGGACCACTGCGAGACCGAGGAGCTGCTCGCCAAGACCAACCAATCGCAGGGAGCCCTAACTGCGCTGGGCCGCATGGGGAGGGCGAGCGGAGGCGCCTTTAGCAAACAGAACGTCCCGCCCAGCCTGAGCTCGGCGGAACTGGTGCAACCGAAAGAGCCGCGGTCCTCGGCTCGGCAGCAGATGTCATTGTGTCACGAGCTGCACACGCTCTTCAGGGTCATGTGGTCGGGTCGGTGGTCGCTGGTGTCTCCGTTTGCCATGCTGCACTCCGTGTGGAACCTGATCCCGGCGTTCCGCGGATACGACCAGCAGGACGCGCAAGAGTTCTTGTGTGAGCTTCTGGACAAAGTCCAGCAGGAACTGGAGTCGGAGGGACCCAGGAAACACTTCCTGATTCCGATCACGCAGCGGAAACTGTCCAAACAAGTCCTTAAAGTGCTCAACACTATCTTCCACGGACAGCTGCTCAGCCAGGTGACGTGGAACTTACCTGTTTTGACCCGTGGTTCCCAAACTTGTTCCTGGAGATCCCCCAACACTACTGAATTAAAGGGAAAGTTCAAGCAAAAATGAAAATTACCCTAGAATTTCCTAGGTGTATATGACTTTCTTCTTTCAGACGAACCCAATCGGAGTTGTAATTAAAAACGTCCTGGCGCTTCCAAGCGTTATAATGGCAGTTATTTTTCAATAGTCAAAAAGAAATCCAATAAAATGCATCCTTCCATAGTAAAAAGTGACGCACACAGCAGCTTTCTATTGTGAATGCGCGTACGACAGTTAGTGGAAGCTAGAGATTACAGTTTATACAATTTTAAATATGGATATTTTTCTTACAAAAACGGATTAATTTGCTACAGAAGGCCTTTATTCACCCCCAGAGCCGTGTGAGGCACTTTGTATGATGGACGGATGCACTTTTTTTGGGCTTCAAAATCTCGACCCCCATTCACTGCCATTATAAAGCTTGGAATATAACTGATTGGATTCGTCTGAAATAGGGATGTCATGGCACCAAAAATCTAGTAGTCGGTACCGATACCACTAAAAGTACACGATACTCGATACCACAGAAAAAATAACAATAATACTTCAACATTAACTCCTTTACAGTATTTAACATTACAAAAACAGAACATTAGTGCATTTCAAAATAATACACACACACACCTTCACACCCAACTCCAGTCATCACCTTTTTAGTAGAGACTCTATTTTGGGTGTGAAAGGAGACGTGCAAAATGTGCAGTGTTGCAGGGCTCCAGGAATGCGTTTGGGAACCACAGGTTTAGATGTTTCATTTTGAATTGCTTGAATAAATGCATTAAGGACTAAATCACTGAGTGTTTCTAAACTGAACCTGCAGGTAACGTGTCTGTCCTGCAAGCGCAAGTCGAACACGGTGGAGCCATTCTGGGATTTGTCTCTGGAGTTCCCAGAACGATACCACCGCATGGAGAAGCCCAGCGCAGCGGCGTGTCAACAGAGCTGCTCGCTGTCAGAGATGCTCGCCAAGTTCACGGAGACGGAGGCTTTGGAGGGCTGCATTTACGCCTGCAACTTCTGCAACAGTAAGTTGCGCCGTTCTTACAGACGTCACAAAGTTGTTGATGCATTTATCTAAATTTCCTGCATTTTCAGGAAAGCGCCGTAAATCGTCCCATAAGCCCCTGTCTCTTTCGGAGGCCTGTAAGCAGTTACTCATCTGCCGTTTACCTCAGGTGCTGCGGCTACACCTCAAACGCTTCCGGTCAGTCAGAACACCTCCCATGTTTTATCTTGACGTGTTCCTTAGTTGGAACTAGGGTTGGGTATCATTTTAATTTTATAGATTCCGATTCTGCTTATCGATTCCTACTTTCGATTCCAATGAGATAAAAAAATTCAATATATAAAAAAAATGAAGTTGAACATTTAGATGTCAAACATTTATTCTGTGTCTTTTTACAAAGCCTAGCCAATGTGCCACCGAGGAAAAGCGCGCGGCTTCTCACCCAGGCTCCTCGTCCGACACTCGCACTTATTCCTCGGAAGTTCCGTGATCCTCCGGAACGACTCCCTTTGGCTCCCAAACAGTCCCTGCTGTCGCTGTCCAACAAGCCCCTGTCGCGCAAACCACTTCGTAACGCGGGTCGGTTGCACCGATATCACGCCTCGCAGTCGTCGCGTCGCAGGAAGCCTGCGCCCGGAGTCACGGGATTGCGCAACCTCGGGAACACGTGTTACATGAACTCCATTCTCCAGGTGCTGAGTCACTTGCAGAAGTTCAGGGAGTGTTTCCTCACGCTGGACCACTGCGAGACCGAGGAGCTGCTCGCCAAGACCAACCAATCGCAGGGAGCCCTAACTGCGCTGGGCCGCATGGGGAGGGCGAGCGGAGGCGCCTTTAGCAAACAGAACGTCCCGCCCAGCCTGAGCTCGGCGGAACTGGTGCAACCGAAAGAGCCGCGGTCCTCGGCTCGGCAGCAGATGTCATTGTGTCACGAGCTGCACACGCTCTTCAGGGTCATGTGGTCGGGTCGGTGGTCGCTGGTGTCTCCGTTTGCCATGCTGCACTCCGTGTGGAACCTGATCCCGGCGTTCCGCGGATACGACCAGCAGGACGCGCAAGAGTTCTTGTGTGAGCTTCTGGACAAAGTCCAGCAGGAACTGGAGTCGGAGGGACCCAGGAAACACTTCCTGATTCCGATCACGCAGCGGAAACTGTCCAAACAAGTCCTTAAAGTGCTCAACACTATCTTCCACGGACAGCTGCTCAGCCAGGTGACGTGCAACTTACCTGTTTTGACCCGTGGTTCCCAAACTTGTTCCTGGAGATCCCCCAACACTACTGAATTAAAGGGAAAGTTCAAGCAAAAATGAAAATTACCCTAGAATTTCCTAGGTGTATATGACTTTCTTCTTTCAGACGAACCCAATCGGAGTTGTAATTAAAAACGTCCTGGCGCTTCCAAGCGTTATAATGGCAGTTATTTTTCAATAGTCAAAAAGAAATCCAATAAAATGCATCCTTCCATAGTAAAAAGTGACGCACACAGCAGCTTTCTATTGTGAATGCGCGTACGACAGTTAGTGGAAGCTAGAGATTACAGTTTATACAATTTTAAATATGGATATTTTTCTTACAAAAACGGATTAATTTGCTACAGAAGGCCTTTATTCACCCCCAGAGCCGTGTGAGGCACTTTGTATGATGGACGGATGCACTTTTTTTGGGCTTCAAAATCTCGACCCCCATTCACTGCCATTATAAAGCTTGGAATATAACTGATTGGATTCGTCTGAAATAGGGATGTCATGGCACCAAAAATCTAGTAGTCGGTACCGATACCACTAAAAGTACACGATACTCGATACCACAGAAAAAATAACAATAATACTTCAACATTAACTCCTTTACAGTATTTAACATTACAAAAACAGAACATTAGTGCATTTCAAAATAATACACACACACACCTTCACACCCAACTCCAGTCATCACCTTTTTAGTAGAGACTCTATTTTGGGTGTGAAAGGAGACGTGCAAAATGTGCAGTGTTGCAGGGCTCCAGGAATGCGTTTGGGAACCACAGGTTTAGATGTTTCATTTTGAATTGCTTGAATAAATGCATTAAGGACTAAATCACTGAGTGTTTCTAAACTGAACCTGCAGGTAACGTGTCTGTCCTGCAAGCGCAAGTCGAACACGGTGGAGCCATTCTGGGATTTGTCTCTGGAGTTCCCAGAACGATACCACCGCATGGAGAAGCCCAGCGCAGCGGCGTGTCAACAGAGCTGCTCGCTGTCAGAGATGCTCGCCAAGTTCACGGAGACGGAGGCTTTGGAGGGCTGCATTTACGCCTGCAACTTCTGCAACAGTAAGTTGCGCCGTTCTTACAGACGTCACAAAGTTGTTGATGCATTTATCTAAATTTCCTGCATTTTCAGGAAAGCGCCGTAAATCGTCCCATAAGCCCCTGTCCCTTTCGGAGGCCTGTAAGCAGTTACTCATCTGCCGTTTACCTCAGGTGCTGCGGCTACACCTCAAACGCTTCCGGTCAGTCAGAACACCTCCCATGTTTTATCTTGACGTGTTCCTTAGTTGGAACTAGGGTTGGGTATCATTTTAATTTTATAGATTCCGATTCTGCTTATCGATTCCTACTTTCGATTCCAATGAGATAAAAAAATTCAATATATAAAAAAAATGAAGTTGAACATTTAGATGTCAAACATTTATTCTGTGTCTTTTTACAAAGCATTATGTTGCAAAAATCAGCAGCCTACAGAACACTCAGGCCTAAAAGAGGAACTTTTGCCTATGCTTTTAACAAAAACACCATGGCAAACACAACTAGACTAATATTTGAAATTTATATTAAAGTGTTAAAGACAAGTAAACAGTCAGTAATAAAATAGGAACAAACAAATCAATTAGCAATAGCATAAATACAACTGAACCAAATTTCAGGTACAGAAACTGTAATTAAAGGTTTAAAAACACTGCATAGTTTATTTTGTTCTTTGATTAACATTAATGACAGGCAGCGTGTTTATTAGGCTGCTGTCTCTTTACCACCGAACGCACGCGGATCTAAAGATACTGTACACGTGCTATTTCTTTCTCATGTTTACGTTCACTTAAGACAAAAACGGCTGTAGTTTTCTGCATACTGGTCGATAAATATGAAAGAAGCCAGTTCCGGCCCGGGACAACCTTTTCTGCAGTGAAATGCACGGAACGGTTCGAGAACGGATGCAGGCTGGGAACACGCAAGTTCTTTCTGTTCCTGCACTTTAAAATCACATTAAAATGCGAACGCAGGAATCATTAAGCAGAATCGAAATGCACGTGTCTTACCGAATACCCGGTTCTTGGAAATGTGGAACCGGTTCTAAAATGGAAACGGTTTTCGATACCCAACCCTAGTTGGAACCAGGGTCGTCCAAACTTGCAGTCCTGCAGAGTTCAGCTCCAAAAACACACCTGAACCAGCTAACCAAGTTCTTCAGACTAGAAACTAGTCGGAGCTAAACTTTGCAGGACATTGGTCCTCTAGGATTGGACACCCTTGGTTTGAACCTCATGCTAACGATTCTGTCCACACTTGTCCAGGTGGTCCGGTCGGAATCACAGGGAGAAGATCGGCGTCCATGTGGCTTTTGATCAGGTCCTGAATATACAACCATACTGCTGCTCGGACGCTGCTCCGACGCTGCAGAGAGAAGCCTACACCTATGACCTATCTGCTGTAGTGATGCATCATGGGAAAGGCTTTGGCTCAGGGCACTACACGGCCTACTGTTATAACACTGAAGGAGGTGAGTCACGGCTCCCGACTAGCGAACTGCACCACAATCTGCTTCATGCAGACCGCTCACAATTGGTGCGAGCGCAACCCTCGGTTTAAGCAAGCAGCCTGCATGCTTCAAATCTCTTGCGATGCATTTGCAACAGACAAATGCAAGCTTTGCTTTGTGCTTGTTTTGGCAGTAGAAGCAACACTTTACATCGTTCCATCGCAGTCTTAGCCACTACTCAAAGTCAGTAGCCGGGTTGCCATCCAAAAGTTGCAAATTTAACCTGTGCGCAAAAATTGGAATATCGCATTAAACATTTGCGAATAAGAACCATTTCCATCCAATGAGTCAAAGAGAACAAAATCATCACTTCCTGACAAACTAGCACTAAATATCACTAAGAAAAGTAGGAGAAGCCACTCAATATAATAATTTTTATATATAACAAATGACTTGCACCTCGGAGCGAGCAGACGAAACACAATAAATGCGGTCATTGCTTTCGGAGGCGGATGCCTGCTGTTTGGAAACGCAGTCGTGTAAGACAATTCTGGGAGGCAATTACATAGAAATACGTTGACGCTCGAGCATTTCAGAATGACCATAACAACATTTCAGATGCTGTGGAACGAGATCGGTCTGCTGGTTAGTCAAGTTATCCCGTCCCATGGCGCAGTCACATGACTTTTTTGGCATTGCCCATTATTCGCATTAACCCTTTTTCGCACAAGTAAAAAAAAAAAACACCAGAAGCAAGCGTAAAAACTTCTTTGCAAATTAGGGGATTTTTATTCGAAATTTGGCGTTTCTGATGCGATACTTCAAAATGTGCATAAAAACAGGGTGATAGAAACATAGCTAGTGTTGGGGGATGATGCATTACAATTAACGCAAGTTACGTAATTAGTAGAGCTGTCTACTAATCTAATTAATTATATGTGTCGATTAATTAATCTAATAGCAAATTACATTTGGCTGTACAAATGCCCCCAAAAGATTATTTAAAGCTAATTGTGTTAAATGAGAAAGTATTACAAATAGTAGCTTTAGAAAGAAATATTTTATTTGATTCAACATAATTTATTACACACAAACGTTAGGCTACAACGGCCTAACGTAAACTATGGAACAAAAGAAGATAATCTGAGAAACAGCTCACATTTTTTCGTTCATGTAATTGAAGTCATTGGTAATCAAAACAGCTTTGTTACCAACAGTAACTCACTTAAAGAGTTTAGTATAATTTTGCCAGAAAAAGTTTTAGAATTTTTATAAACATGTTAATGTAAAAAATCTTGTGTAATATAACTTGTTTGTTTGTTTGCTGGTTTTATTGTATTTGTTATACTTGTTAATTACGTTAATAATTTTAACGCATTATTTTTAACCGTAATTAATTAATCTAATTAACGCGTTAAATTACCAGCCCTAATATTATCACATTTGCATTCAGGACAAACAGCACTCGTGTGATATTGCTCTCGCTGCCCGTGTGATATCGCTTATCATATGATATAAATATGAGACAAAACTCATACAGGGGTATTTTTGCGCCAATATCTTTACCGCATAACTGCATTTATGGAGTTGTTGCCGTGCCTCATATTTGTCAACAGTCAACTGTATGAAATGTAAGATGGCGTACAGGTCTGGGGGCGGGGCCAGTGTGTTAACTGCGTTAAAATATTTTAATCGCGTTATTTTTTCATAGCTAGTTAAGTTAACGCGTTAAACTGACAGCCCTAGTAATTCGATTACTTTAAGTAACTAGTAACTACTTTGCTTAAACGTAACATTTAATCGCAATCGCAAAGTTTAATCGCAACATATAATCATTGCAGTTAACTGTTCACAGTCGGTTTGATTTACGTGTAATTTGTAACTAACTGCATGATTCTTACTGTACGTTTCTGCCATAGTAATCTACTCCTAAATATAATGTAGAAACTTACAATTTTGTGTGAAGCTGCTTTGCAACGATTTGTATCGTGAAAAGCGCTATGCAAATAAACTTGAATTGAATAAAGGAATGCATTACTGTAGGTTGTTTTATTGGTGCATGGTGCAAGTTGTTGTGCATGGTTCGCCACAGTAACGGTGTTTGCGTTGCAGGTTTCTGGGTTCACTGTAACGACTCTGAGATGAACGTGTGCAGTGTGGAGGAGGTGTGCAGCACTCAGGCCTACATCTTGTTCTACACGCAGCGCTCCTCTTAGACCTCCGTCTCTCACTGTGGTCTGTTCCTGACATCAGCAGTGAGACTCAGAGGTTGACCGGTCTCTGCTGGCACGGTCACACTTTACCCAGGACCAAACTACACTCACCTGCAGGGTCCAGAACCGCAGGGACACACACACAGATCAGCCCCTCCGCTGTCGGCGACAGAGACAGATGGACGCTCATCCTGGAGAGAAATGCCACAGCAATATGATCATCACACACTCTGAATCAGGAATTCTTCACCTTTGATACTGCGACTGTTTTCTACTCTCTTTCTAATCGGGATGAAATTCAGGAAAACAGAGAAAGCCTCTTCATTTACATCAGTGGTAAATGACCGAACAATCTTATGACGCTGAATGTCTAGTTGTGTGTGTGTGTGTGTGTGTGTGTGTGTGTGAGAGAGAGTGTGTGGAAGGGCGTGACTGCTGACCTCTGACCTTTGTCCTGTATTGTGAGAGCACCTGTTATCGACTTTATAGATCTTGTGGGATCTTCCTGATGATAGTGAATAAAAAATAAAAAATCATGAAGCCCTGAGTTACTGTCTGCTTTATATTTGATGCACATCACAGGTATATAGACAAACAGGTTTTTGAAACCATTTTGTGTAATTATAATACATGCTGATTTATGTAGTAATTAAAGCTCATAGTCAACACTATACATAGAATATTTGTATTTTTGTTCAATATTTTATCTTTTTTATTATTTTGAGAGAATTTTATGGTACTACTTAATATTTATGCAATAATTATGATACATTTTTCCCATTGAAAATCGTACAAACATTTTTTTTTATAATATAATTTTTCAATTAATGCAGTATTTCAGATTAAAATAGAGACTAGGCCCATAAAATCCCATTTTTGAAGGCAGATTAGCACCTGGTGAGAGCAAGGAAAGAAAAACGTACTTTTATGGTGCAACCACTAGATGCCTGTATAGGACTCTATATATAGAGAGGCTTGTGAATTCCCAAGTTGTTTGTAGACATAATTGTTTACTTTTACTAGGTTGTGGATTTAAATGTTTATTAAGGCATTCTCAAAGACTACTTTGTCAAAGTTTTTTTTTTAAATGTTGATCTAAAGCTTTTTATGCATCATTGCGGATTTGTAGATTGTACGCACAAAAATGTTCGTTATTTTCGGATTTTTTGCCCATTTCCCGTTCTTTTTCTTAATATGGCGCCAATTTTCGACCGCGAAGACCGTGAGTGTGAGTTTTTTTTACGACCATTTAGCATTTTCAAATCATGCCCTCAATTTTTTTGTGTGTTCACATACCAAATGCCATAAAAGTCATCATGCAGATTTCATACCATTCCGATGAAGCTACGATTTAAAAAATTTTAAAACGTAATTTATTTATTTGTTACTAAAGTGACCGAAGACCGCAAGGGGTTATATCAGAGTGTTGAAATGATTTAGATGTTGAATTAACGTGCATTTACGTGCAAATTAAATTAATTAGTGCTTTCAAACGATTAATCGCGATCACATTCAAAATAAAAGTGTTTGTTTACATAATATATGTGTGTGTACTGTGTATATTTATGATGTACATATAAAGACACACATGTACAGCATATATTTTTTAAATATTTACATGTATATATATTCATATAAATTATATCATATATAAATATATTTAATATATTTAAACATTTTTCTTATATACATGTGTGTGTGTTTATATACACATAATAAATATACACAGCACACACACATATGTAAACAAAAACTTTTATTTTGAATGCTATCGCGATTAATCGTCTGACAGCACTAAAATTCATTATTTCACAAACACTTTCAGTTCTGCTGTGACTTGCGGTCTCTGACAGAAAAATCTGTCAGTATTAATATTACATTAACACCCTCAGTCTCACCATTTGTCGTGGCTAGCTTCTCTTCAGAAGTGCTCATTGTGGTTGTCTGGGGACATTTGTTCAAATGAGTCTTTGTTAAATCTCTCTTGGTTAAATAACGTTTAAACCAGCCAGTCAAACTGAAACTTACCGTTACGAAATCTCGCGCCATTTTTGCATTTAAAATTCCCTCAGGCGGTCAGCAAACGGTCCGTGGACGCGACTTTTTAGGACAATTTATCCATGATATCCGTTAAGGTAAGTCTAAAATAAGACTAAATATCAAATGATCGATGTATAAACAATATTAAAGCGCTTATCTCTACGCATAACATCTGAGATTTGCCATTCTGTCCTCGTTTCCAAGCAGTTTGTCAGATCAATCTTATTTGCATAATGTTAATTAAAGAAAGCTGCTTCCCATCATCAGGAAGATAATAAAGTGTGTAAAAACTCCATCTGAGCGCTAGGTAGCGCCCTTGAGCAGTTTTAAACATGTCGATCCTGCAGGGAACCGAGCAGATTTATTCATTTTCCGATAAACCACAAGAAGAGTTTGACAAACTCTCAATCATTAACCTGTTTAAGTGAAAAGAGGCTAATTCATAAACGTAGCATGCTGTATTGAAGCATAGCAAGTTGAAGATCATCATATCTGTCCCATTTTGAGCCGGAAGCAGGTTTATGTTGACTGTGTAATCCATCCTGGGATTAATTAATTTAATCTGGATTAAAATCAGCATCTGGATTACAGCAACAGATTGTCGGACTGATGCAAAAAATATGTTCACCAAAATTATAACAAAACAGAAAACAAATCATAGCCTATATTTGCAAATGTATTTATTAAGAGTGCTGTTGTGATTTAGCAAACGGGTAGAAACATGAGAAATATGATCATGCTAACAGTGAGTGTTACACTATTACTGTGTTTACAAAAAAATGTTCTGATGACAGATGTAGTATTGATTCTTGACTACTGACGTTACGTTTCTGCCTTCTCGCCCCTAGGTCAAATATCACCTAACAATACACAAAGTAAAATGACAAAAGTTTCATTCTCCTCCGTGATGAGATATTTCATATATAACAGAGACAAAACAAACTAAACGCAGCACATTTGAGACAGTTTTGGTGTCCGCATGAAAGAGTTCCTTAAGTCATGATCTGAAATGTGACTGTGTGTTGGTATGAAAGCCATGCATCAGCAGAAGACCATCCTCTAGACTTATTTCTTGTGTCCGCTCTAAGAACCAGTTT